TCCAGGTCTTGCTTCTCAGACTTGCCAGAAGTAACAATTACACACAAAGTAAGAAACATGAACAGTGAAAGACAGAAGCAGGGAGCAAACTTTTCTATAGTCTTTTCTATAATTACTAGCTTTTCTATAATTACTAGAATAATCTTTTCTATAGCTACTAGCTCTAGTCAAAATGCAAACCGAGTAAAAAGAATTCATTTCTAATGCTAAAGAAACCCCAAACCTACCCCCACCCCCCAAAAAGTGCATTGTTGGCTAATATTCGCTTGGAAGCCAATGAACCCCAAAACACGAGAAAGTCTTAAAAATGTAGTAGTTTACTTTAAAATGACAATAAAACACTAAGTACTGGTGTACTCTTACATAAAATACCTGTATTCTCAAAAAAAAAGAAAAACCTTAGAGAAGTGTTATTCTTTACATTGCTGCAAACCTCATTAATATATATTAGTAAAGACAGCTGGATTCTCTTAGCTTCTACATTCAATCTGCCGTACCTCACTACTCAGTTGAAATGCAGGAAATTCAGCCTCACAAAACAAGACAGGTGGTCAAATGGTTAATCTTCATTGCCAACTTGACTAGATTCAGAATCACCTAGATTACTGAGGCACTCTAGGTGTATGTTATGAGAGGGAACTAGCTAAGGGGAAGACCATCCTGAATGTGAGTGACAACATCCCAGATGCTGAGAATAAAGAGAGGAAACAGAGAAAGTGAAAGTAAACAAAGTACAAGCCCTCCACTTTCTCAGTCTCCTGGCCTACTACCCTAATGTGAAATGTTCTGTTCTGCTCTGCCCTGCCCTCCCAGCCATGTCCAGACTGAACCTTCTGAAACCACAAGTCAAATAAATCTTTACTCTCTTAAGCTGTTTTTCTCAGGTATTTGGTCGTCTCAAGCTCCAGAACACTTGGAAAGTAGAACACTAGATAAATAAGTCAAAGTCTTCATGGAAAAAAGAGGGCTAAATTACTATATTAGGTGGTCAAAAATACAGAGTAGGCGGGGTATGGTGCTGTATGCCTTTAGTCCCAGCACTTGGGAGGCAGAGGCAGGCAGATGGGGCTACAGGGAGACCCTGTCTCAAAAAGACAAAAACAAACAAACAAACAAACAAACAAAAAAAGAGTAAAGCAACAATGTTAAATTGATAAAAATTAAAATAGTAGGTAAATTTAACTAATCCTCAAATAAACAAGGAACATTCAAGTGGTACATTCAACACTTTATTATGTAAAGGGTTATGTTTTAAAACCCACAAAAAATATACATTCCCCCAAATCATTTTTGTGTTCAACATGGTATGTGTTAAGCCAGAAAAACAGGAATGTTTAAAATAAAAATGACTGAAATATGAAATATTCTGGCTTAATCTAGTTAACCAAAACCCCTAAATATAACACTTGGATCCACTAAGATTCCAGTTAATCACTTTTCAAGATGGAAGATCTCTGAAGGCATAATTTAGAAAAAAAAATTGGTAATAAAAATATTTTGGAACAGGTCCCTCAAAGAACAACTTTCTAAGAACTGCCCACACTTCGTAGAGATGTGTTCAGTTAAAAAAAACCTATTACAGTAGGACAGGCAGATAAGTTTAATTCATGTGTCAAGAGAAGGGTAAAACTGTCCAATTAACTACTAGCCTTCACCATACTACTGGTGTTCAGAGAACACGACTTTATCTTTAAGAACTTTCTTTCTTAAGCAGTTCTATTCATATGACTTTGTTTCCTTAGAGATTTTCAAGCAAGGGGAAATTTGCTTATTACTTACTTTCTTTTCTCTTACATTTGTATGCTTGTACTTGCATGCACCAAATAACATACATGTGGAGGTCAGATTCGGTTCTCTCCTTCACCATGTTGGTCCCAGGAATCAAATGCAGGTTAACAACCTTTGTTTGTGGCAAGCACCTTTACCTGCTGAGCCAATTGCTTTTAAGCCTTATTGCTTTTAAATAGAATAAAACTCATCCTATCTTATAATTCTAAATGTTTCTATAGAAGAATTCTTTTACAAATTAAGATACATGGTGAGATCTTACTGATTTTTTTTGGGGGGGGGGGCCTACATCTTGAAATGTTTTGAAATCCCACCATCCTAGGTCACCACTGCTCATCAATCTTTTAAAAATATTTTATTTTTATGTGGATGAATGTTTTGCCTGCGTAAGTGTACCCTTTGCTGTGTAATTCCCATGGAGGTCAGAAGACGGGGTCAGATCCCCTGGAATTGGAGTTATGGACAGCTGTTTGCTGCCATGTAGGTGCTGGGAACTGAACCCTGTCAGTTAATTTTAACTATGCTAAAAACAAAAAAGATAAATGAAGAAAGATTCAATTACCTAAAAGGTGATATAATAGTGAAATAAATCTAACTAGCCCATTACTCTTCATTTTCTTCCTAAGTTTTCTTGTGCTTTTTCATAAAACATTGCATTGATTTTCAATAGGTATAAGACTGATAATATCAGCCTTGTAGGAACATAGACTTCTTGTTAGAGAACACAAACTTTTCTTCTACTTATATGTAAGTTCAGTACCTAGAGGCTTGTGAATTCAACTTAAATAAGAAAGTTAGAAAGAGAAAAAAGTACACAAACTTTATTCATATTTAAATACACAAGAATTCACAACAAAGTAGAACTCACAGAAATGGGTAGATTTGGAGAATTATATACCATTTTATAGAAGAGAGCTAGGGAGCAAAAATAAATCACTGAAAGGCTGGGGGAAGGAACATATGCCTCTAATTCTAGCACTCTAGAAGGTGGAGGTATAGGACAGAAGATCAAGGTCATCTTTGGTCAAAGAGCCAGTTTCAGGCCAGCCCAACCTACTTAGATTCTGTCTTAAAAAAATAAAATAAAAACAAACCATTGGAAAGAGACAAGAAAATGTATAGGAAAACTGAAGGAAGATAAGGGCTGTTTTAGAAAGGTATGTTTATATAATAACTTCATCTCTTTCAGATATGGGGGAGAAACACCTCATAAAAGGAAATTCAAGTCCTGCTGTTAAGCAAAGAAAGGGAGGAAAATTATTCCTGCTTCTGTCAATTCTCAGTTGCATTCAACTCAAAAGACTCTTTACACCAAAGTTACATGTTTTATGACAGTATCCCCTGATACCCTTCTCTGCTTTCAGTATCAATGAATATGGTTAAAATTTCAGACTTAATTTGCCTATAATGAAAGAGGACTGATAATTCACAATTATTTGACAAACAGGAAGATGAATGGAAAGATAGCAGCAAATCAGAATATGATGAAGATACATAAAGGAAATCTCAGATGCCTCAGGTGAGATAATCAAGATAAACTTTCTCATACTCAGCAATCAATGAGTTTTTGTTTTGTGTGTGAGTTCTATGTAAGTTTTTTAAAAGGGGGGGAAAAGGGGAGGAAGAGAGACATGAAACGAGAGAATGAGAATGAATATAGTATTTTCATTCTGACTTAGATGGTGACAACTTTGGTATGACGAGGGTTGATAGAATCCTTCTGAAAATAGTGTTGCAGAAATAAACTAAAATTAGAAACAATATTGATCTATATGCATGTGTATACACACACACACAGTACTTGGGGATAAACTCACAAGCCACACACACATTCAAACGTTCAGCAGTGTGGACTAGACAAAGCAAATGTGGGGAAATGTCTACAAATATTAAAACTAGGTGGTAGGCTATAGTCAAACTTTCAAGATTCTTGAAAAAAAAAACACCGACAAAGTTAAAAGGGAACAAGAATGGTAAATTGAAAAGAATGTCTTAAACTGGGGGCGAGGGGACCCTAAGAGTCCTTGCCTGGTCGCACCATCAATGAAAGATGTGAGGTGCACACCAGGTGAGGGGTCCCCATACCCAAGGTTGTGCCACTGGCCCAGGCTCTTGGCAGCCAGGTGTTCTCATATAAGTCATTTCTGAGGCTGTTTCCTCACCTTCAAAGCAGCTCTGTCAACAAAGGAGGCCTCAAAGGGGCCAAGGGGCATAGAAGAATGCTAGGAAAACAAGCAGTGCGGTAGGTGCAGCTGCAGCATCAAAAGCACACCGTTCTCAAAGCAGTCCCTTGCCTATCCCGGTCGGTACTGACATCCAAACCACCTGGGTGGGCCCAGTACCGGAGCCCCTTAAGGAAGCCAGGGGGAGGCTTTATGCTTCCGCAGTCCACGACCCCTGGTGAGCTTTACATTTACGGGCACTAAAAGACGTCAAACTGTCAAGACTCGCGGTGCAAACCTGCAGACAATAGATATGTCCAACACTGAAGTTTGCGACGGGGCTGCACCCACGGCCTCACACAGCCGTAGCCCCAGGCCCCGGCTGCAGCGGCTCGGTGCCCCGCTCCTCCCTAGCCCGTTTCTTTGTGAAGAGGGGCGCGTCGTGGGACTCCTTCCCCTCCAGCAGGCTGAGGCCCCGAGGGCGGGCATTCGCCTCTGCCTTCAGCGAAGCCTGCCAAGGCTCGCCTCGAACGTGTCGCGCCCGACTGGCTTCTGCGCAGGGCCCTTCTCGCGTGGACAATAACGGGACGTGTATGGCAGAGAGGGGACATCCTTCTGCCGAGGAAGGAAGCTGTGAGCGCGGAAGCGGGCGCCACCTGGCAAACCCGGCCCTAGTGGTCGGAGCCCCGAAAGCCCTTGCGCATCTCTTCCACGAGTGGAGAGGCTCGGGTGGGCTGCCCCGGGAAAAGCGCGGGTCCTCCGCCACACACAGGCGGACGGGGTACAAAGGAGTCTCCGGAGAACGACGCCGGCGGCGGGGAAGGCGTCCAGCTGAGGACACGCGGAAGCCCGGCGACCCGCAGCTTCCCCGGGCTGGCCCGGCTCCCTCCAGCAACAGGGCCGGCGCAAGATGGCGGGCCAGCCCAACGCGCAGCCCGGCCGGGCTGGCCCGGCCCGGCGCGAGACCCCCACCCTGCGCCCCCAGGGCG